AAGATAACAATTAGCAAAAGTCATACATGATTTAAATATAGCTACTTGAGCTGCTTTACTGATGGTCGTATTATTAACTGTAATATTTTTATACCTTAGTATTATGTGCAGATGAAGGTAATTATGTAACAATGAGAATTAGGAGAGGCTGTGTTTGCACCTCTGTGTCTTGTCCTCTTGGTGTCCGTTACTGTCTCGGCTTCCATGGCTTCTCAGCAATCTTTACCTGCTGTCTTCTGGCCTCACCCAGTTCACCCTGGGACTCAGTTCCCAAAGTGGATTTCAAGTCCCCAGAAAGGCTTTGAAATGCTGCTTTCTCAGCTTCTTAATAGACTGACATGAGAAGGAGCAAGCAATGGAATGGGCTCCCTGGGGCCACCCCTGTGTTCCACCTGGGAGGTTTCCCACTCCTGTTTACCCACAAGTCAAGCTGGCTGCAGTTGGAGCTGCAGGCCTCAGCATGAGGAGCACCCTCCACCAGTGTTGGGAGGGCCTCGCGGGTGGGGTGAGCGCTGCTCTTCAGAAGTGGAGTCTCTTTGTGATCCTTTTTTAAGAGGTTTCCTTCCAAAGGGTTCCTTGGCTTGCAAACCTCATTACCTTGGCTATCTTTTAGAGTGCTGACTTTGTTTGCTTTTTTTTTTTTAATGTTTTTACTGCCATTCTTCTTCTCTCTCTCTCTCCCCCCCCACCCTCCCTCCCTTTGGGGGAGTGTGGGAGGGGGAAACTAACCAGCATCTGTCTACTTGGACGATAGTTTATATTTGCCAATAATTTTAGAGTAACTTTATTAATACTGAGTCATGTTGATAAAATAATTTTTCTTGAAAAATGTAAGACTGGGTTCTTTTAAAAATCAAATCATTACACATTTGATAAAATATTGACAAAACGATCATGTAGTAGCTTATGTTGTAGTAAGAGAAGACGAATATGAATCAAAGCACCTAATTTTGTGGTAGAAAAATCATTACCAGAATCACAGAGACGATATTTCAATAATCATGTTTTTGTAAAAATTGAATCATGTGGAATGGTTAATATCAATATTACAAATTATCTACAAAGTATCCAACGGAATTTGCAGGAATTTCCAAGCAAGGGTCATATTGACTGCTGTATTTAAGTTCTATTTCATCATATGATTATCTCAGCAGTATCAGAAGAGCGAGAAGACGGGGCAGGAGGAAGGGGCAATGAGCGTATTAGTTCTTTTAAAACCTGTATTGCCCCAGTTTACCATGAGTTGTGGGCCTCTCCCCTTCCCCCTCCCCCAGTCTCTCTTTGGCAACCAGTGTGCTTGATATCAACAACTGCCCAGGTTTTGATTCTCTCTTCTCTTGCCTTACTTGACCTTAACTCACTTAGTTCTTCTGTTTTTATAACTGTTCACTTTCTGATTCCTTAGCAATAACTTCTTATTGCTATTATTGACATCTGATGAAGAGTTGTACCGGTGAATTTTCTAATGTTTAGCTTATTCAACAAGCCTTTTTTTGGGGTGAGCCCCATCCTATATGAAATCGAGAGAAAGGGAGAGGTGCACATGTGTATGTGTATATATGTGCACACACACTTTCAAGGATATCAAGATAATCAGAACCTCAGAGTGACTTGGGACCTTTTATCTTGATACGTTAAATAACTGGTGTCTAGTTAGGATGATATATTCCTTAGGAATTTGGCCAAAGTTACATGTAAAACTGAGCTCATTATCTTTATTTTTATATATACTGTACTTAAAGAATTTTTTATACAGTTTGCTTGGGTGTTTTTAATAGAAAAAATGCATGTACTAAAATGTATTTTGAAAGTTTTTTTTAAATGGGGGAGATATGCATATACTGATAAGCAGAGGGGAAATGTAACATGGAAATGTTAGAAAAATAGGGAATTTAGGAAAGGGATTGAAAGGAAAGAAGAGGTGGACTGATGTGAAGTTGGAGGCCTGGAGTCCAAGGAGAGCACAGCAAGATGTGACTAACTTCCAGGGACGTTGAGAGGAAAAGGCATCCTGCAGGCACATTGTCAGAGGTGGTTTGGGGCTGAAGCTCTGCCAGGGCTCTCAAGGTGTCCATGACCGAAGGCCATGTGCTCTCTGCAAAACTGAGATAGGTTGTCCTTCCAGAGGAATATAATAGAAAGTAAAAAAGATGTTCTATAAATTACCTACCTTTGTTGAGTATTGACTGTAAAAATACAACGTTTTTATTGGGAAAACGCATTAGAATTTTAAGTATGTAAAATCAAACAATATTGATAGAATGGTGTGCTTTAACTCATTTTTCCCCTCTAGACATGATTCCTTTCATGACTTGAGGCTATTTCTGAATGTTCATGATAGGAACAAAAACCTGAATGCTGTCTCTTCATCCTGGTTCCTATTGGTCACTTTTTAAATTCTTGTAACTAAAAGGACAGATGTGTGCATGGGAAACAAGCTGTTTTCTGATATTTCGTAGTCTTTTATCTTTTTATGAGGCTCATTTCCCCACTGCCTAACTTGTATGGTTTTTGATACCCACATGCTCCTTAGCCATGCGTTTCCCATTTGAATGATGAAGCTCTTGACCTTGAACATTTTTATGGACTCTTCTAGGTCTTCGTGATGTTCAATAATGGCTCTGGGACCAACTTGTTCCCATTGGAATTTTTTTTTTGTCATACTCTCATAATTATACTTGCATCCAGTTTCTCGCTAGAACCAGCCTTATCTCGTGACATCTGTGTCTTAGTCATTCCTGTCTTCTTTATGTAATCTTCAAAGCATTTTTGTTTTCTTTAACTTATTCTCCTTGAGTTGACCTATAATCAGTGATCTGGCTAATCAGACCTTCCCAGAACATCTTCCTTTTCCATTTTCTTAGCCACTGCCTAAATTGTATGGTTTTTTTCATTTTTTAATCTAATATTCTTGTCTTCATTTACTACTTTTCCCAAACCACCCTGTTTATCAGTGACCCATTCATATTCCTAGGATTTATATATAATGCTTACTTGAAAAATTTCAGTGCTTTGCTATTATCACATATGAGATCAAGTCCAAACTTTTAAACCTGTAAATGTATTTTTCTGTAGTTTATATTTCAATTTTCTTTTCAGTCCCCTTTCCTAGCAGTTTCATGAGCTACTGTTTTCTTTTCTCTGCTCTCTTCCTTTCCTCTTTCATTTCCTTTTTAATTCTTCCACTCTTTAATTCACATACTCATTCCTACTCTTGCGTTTGACCCATTTGTTCGACCCATTTATGATTCCCCCTCGAATCCGAGGTTCTGTTCTTAATGCTGCAGGCATCACAGTGAACCACACAGACCTGCGAGTCTAAGGCTCCCTCTTTCTCAGGGATGGAGCAATTGGTGGAGCAATTCCAGGTAGGGCCAGAGAAGGCACCAAGGCTACCATGCTACTCTTCCCATTGCCTATTAGGACATTTATCCTAAGTCTCTAATCAAATCTTTCCTTTTACCTAAGCTTTCAACCATCTCACCTTTCTATATTTTGAATAATTCATGTACGTTTTATACAGTTTCCTTGGGTGTTTTTAATAAAAAATGCATGTACTAAAATATGAGTACATTGCATTTACATAAACATGGTTGAGGAAGATCTTAGTTCTTTTTCTCTAATTGAATTATAAGTTCTTGGAAGGATTATTTGTTGATAACTTTGTATTGCTCCAGTGCCTTGTAATACTTCACTCTAAGTGCTTTGATTTCATTGAGTTGCCTATAAAATTGAAGAAATTTATATAAAATACTAAAAAATATCAAGATGTCATACACATTAAAATTTCAAATGCCAATCGCAGGTCTCTTTTTTTCTCTCTAGCACAGCCCTGGTTTTCTGTAATCAGAAAAGAACTTCCGGTGTATACCACTTTTTCCCCCAATAACTAATAGTAGAGACGAAAGACACATTTATTATACAGAGCCTTTCCTCAAAAATGATCCATCTCATTCTCATCCACAAGGACATTTCTATAGGATATTATAGGACATGGGCATATTTCCATATCAGATTTGTTTTTAGTTTCAGTGTTTGTTGAAGGAGATTAATCACTTCCCTCAAGCAAATAACTTTATTGATTTGACAGCTGTCACATGCCTGTTTAGTCAGGGTGATATCATCCAAGTACTGCATATGAGAAGAAAAAGAAAATAAGACCATTGCGTAGCATGGTTGGTTGACAGGATAAGGAGAAGGCATCCCAAACTGACCAGCAACTCACCGCAAGCAACTCACCGCATATTTTTTCAGTGCCAAAAATGAGTTCCTGAAAGTTGCAGAAATGACACATGAAGCAGCATTCTATTCCTCTTCAAGTCATTTTATAATAATCAGACTCTGGGCTGGATGCTTTCTAATAGGAGTTAACAGTGCTTGTAAAAAACCTGTCTCTGTGGAGTGGCTATTTCCTGATTTCCCTTAGAAAAAAATGCAAATGAGGTCTAGAAGTAACTGTGGATTTCTCATGTAGAAAGGACTGAATGTGTTTAACAAGTCTAATCGTGGGGCCAAAATAGAAACCCCAGGGACAGGGAAATGGAAGGCCTAATTTGAAAGAAGGCAAATGGTGCCCCTGTGCTTTGTCCTTGCTTTGAAGGGGGGCTTTTGTGATTTTGCAAAGTCTTCAGCCCTTTCCAGGGAAGTGGCACAGGAAATGGTCTTGTTTGCAGTCTGCATCCCTCTGCTGAATCCTATGAATGCTGGGTTATTTTCTACCAGGCCCAGAAAACGCACATCTGGCCTGTAAATCACTACCATGCCTGGATGTCTTGCTTTCCTCTTTCCTGGGTGTTCACCCTCTGTGTTTTACACATTCCCAGTGTGGGTCATGTGACATCCTGGGGAAACCTCCAGTGGCCCCTAAATGATCACATCACATGAGACTCCCCAGTCCTCCCTGGAATGTAATGCTTGCTTCTGCTGTGCCCTCTCTGTGGTCCCCAGAGGAAGAATCATTCATTTTTATCTTTTTATTTATTTATTTTTTTCCTATTTAGAAATTGGCCCCTGGTTACGGGAGTTCAGAGCGAAGAATGCTGTGGATTTCTCGCAGTTAACATTTGACCCAGGACAGAAAGAACTTGTTGTAGGAGCAAGGTGAGAGATGTTATGTTTTGCCACCAAAGTTAATCTATGGACTTCACTTTGCATCTGTGTGAGTTATATGTGAGTCTCTTTGCTGAAACTGAAGAGCGCTGTTTAAGGTGATTTCATCTCACAACGCTGCTGCGCAGGGTGAGTGTCATGGACTGCCCTGCTAGTGTGAGCAGGGGTGTGCTCCTCATCTCACGTGTTGATTGGACCCTCCCTGTGTATCTCAGACCTGGTTTCCCCAGATTAACTCCTCTGTTCCTCCCACCTAACGTGAGAGGGGGTGGTGTCAACCTCCCTACTGTAGAGATGAGGAAACTGAGGCAGAGAGCAGAGAAAGATGTTGTAATTTTGCATGTGCCTGATAAAAGATGGAGCCCCGTTTTACACCCAGGCGGTTTGGCTGCAGAAACCATGTTCTTAATTCATCACTACATTCTTCTGCAGAATTTCAGAGGTCAAAATGCCTATGAGCATGCCACGAGGTCCCTCATGACCTTTCTTGACGACCTTGATCAGACCTTTATCAGTACATTAAGAATTCAAGGAAATTGTCACTGTCATTGCCCCTTAAGGAAGTGTGTGCTCCTGTATCCAGGTCAACACCTGCATACAGCTGGAGGGTGAGGCCACTGACACATCAACAGATTTTGAGCTCTTTCCCTCATATTTGCTATCACCTCCTTAGAAGATGTGCATGGACCCCACATCCAGTTATCTATGTCAGTATAATTTGAGGATGATATACCTACAACAGGTTACGTCTATCTCTTAGGAAAATGAACATTAAACTTGAGAAGGCAATGTGCAGATTTGGATTCTACTGACATCTAAGGAAGTCTGTACGGCACTGGAATGGATGTATCTTTTCAGCCAAGTTTTTAGATTATGCAGTATACGTTTTATAGCTACAGAGGTCGAACAGCTCCCACACTGACCTGAGTAAAACTAAATCCAGCGTACCCTCAGGGTATTTGTGATAAATACTGAGAAATTTCTGAATTGTTGCGTTTGCTCTCAGATCTTATAGTCCCCAACTTTCACTAAATAGACACAGGTTGGCTTACTTCATGCACTGGACAGTGGTCCTCATCTCTTTGGATGGTTGTGGGGAGACCATGAACCTGGACAGGATTGCTTGGTTTACTCTGCCAGGATTTTCAAAGCTGACTTCACCAAACCACAGTCTGGGCTCTGTATTGCAAGGGTTATAAATGGGTCTCTCAGTCTCGAGAAGCTCTCTTCTTTCTGCATGCTACAACATAGCATGTTTTCTAAATGCCTGCCTGCAGAAGCTCTGTGGGTAGTCCACCCTGTGGTCCCATGTCCCTTAAAGTCTCATCTCGTCATTCTCATGTAGTCCAGGCATGTGGAATGATTTAGGTTTCCCATGGCTATAGAACATGGTCTTTCTTGATTCTGAAATTTGGTGACCTTGTTTTATATTTTTGGAATACTAGGTACCCACCCACTCCCACCCCAAATTTTCTGCTTTGGAAATTCCTCCTCATAGTGAGGACCCGGCTCAAGACCCTGCACTGATCCTGAGCTGCCACATCCTGCACAGGATGGCCCCGTTGACACACCAGGCATCCACTTTGTCACTGTACTTCTTTCAGGGCATCGCATCATATCCTGACAGCTGTCACCTCCTACCTGGACAGAAAGGGATGTGCCAATTCTTTGTTTCTTCCTCCTTGTGGAAACGCAAAGATCTCTGTTGGTTCAACATATTTATTTCTAGGATTTGACTTTTATGTGCTCTTCTCTCATCTAGGGAACACAGGAGCAAGAGGGCTGAGAGTGTGGTCTATTTATTCCAAATGCCTACATTGGGGTATGGTCATGAGGGAGTTTCAGGCTCTGTACCCCAAAGCCTGCCTTTAAGGAAAATAAGCTCTGGCCCCAAGTCAAGGGTAAGAGGCCCTCTACTCAGGAAGCAGGAACAAATGTGAGCCCAACTAGCAGTGCTGAGTCTTGCATCCCTCATTCATTTGTAAAGAACTTTGGAAAGGCTTTTTCATTAGTGTGACTCAAAACACTGTCCATGGTCTCTGGAGGTCCCCTTGTGAACAGATCAGCACTCCATACTCTGCCAGTGGTTGGCTTTTAATCATTGACAAAGATTCTCTCAAGGGATATAGGAAGCCACTGAATAAATTTGGGGATTGTGAAGGACTGTCTTATGTGCCTGCCTTGGCTACAACAGCAACTGGGAATTGTTCCCAAGGGAGACTTGTCCCTGGAGGTCTCCATCCAAGTACCTCTGGGGACTGCCATCTCATATCACCATGGTGCCAGCTCATCCGTGTTGGGAGGAATTGTACCAACCCCCGAGTCACCCTAGCATGCAGTATGGTATAGTGGCCAGGAACACGTGGGGTTGCCAGAAACCACCCATTCAGAATGCAGGATGCCCAGCTGAACTGAACTTCAGATGAGGAATAAGCGATTTTAATCCTACGAATAACCCACGTGTCTGGCAAATAGTGTGTGTTGCCTTGTGACTACTTGGCAGATGACAGAAAGAAAGGAGGGACCCTGCTTGCCTCACAGAGCCATCCTGAGCCAGATCCAGAGCACAATTTTCCCATCTTTAAACTTGATATGATAATTTCCACCCCTTTCAGCTGTTGTGAGGATTAAGTGAAATAATCCGTGACAAATGATCACCACGTCAGCAGGCCCCGGGAAGGCAGCAGGACCTGGAGAGCCTCGGGGAGCTTGTGTGCATTAGTGTGCACATACGGTTACATTTCAGGCAGAGACGGCTGAAGGAAGAGAATAGAAATGTCACCGAGGAAATTTGGTGAGATTAGGTTCAGAAAGTTTGAGAGGGAGTATGAACCAGTTATAAAACTTTAAAAATAACCCAGCCCTCAGATTCCTGTTTGGGAAGGTTTGACCTAGCAAAAGAAGTTTAGATAACAGGTGTGTATTTCAGAAATCAGCAATGGCTTAAAAATATGAACTGCAGAAAAGTAGAATGATCCTTTTTTTTCCCCATAGTTACCACCAGGTATTGAGAAACCGTTTATTGGATGGTTTCACTTTATACCACTGATACTTTATGTCCCTGAAATTGAATTCAGCCAAAGATTCTTTGCACTCTTTTATAAAGGGAGTTCATTGTGCTGCAAAAGAAAAACTTCTCTTAAAGAGATCTGTAGTTATGTAGCACCAGAAGTTACTTGAATTGGAATTCATGCAGTTTCTGGAAGGACTCGTGAATTTGCCATTTCCAGGGTGCATGCTCACTTTCATATCAGGGTAAATGCATTGACCTTCATATTCTGTTTTAATCCAGCCTCTTTGAAATTAATATTCTGTGTATTTTCAATGATTAAACAGGCATCTTTCTTTTAGAAAATGTGGAAAATACAATACAGCATAAGGAAAAGAGTTTCAGAAATAATCATAGTTAAATATAGTTAGTGTGTCCAGTTTTTTCCCCCTATTATTTGATTTCTATTTGTTTCTATTCCTGGGATAATATTCCTGTCTACTTTTTCATCACAAAACCTCCTGAAATCAGTTTCCATGGTATAATGAAAAAAAAATTCAAAGAGAAAGAATGTGTTATAGCTTAGAATTTTAGTTTTGATAATTATGAAAGTACTGACAGTACTAACGCTCCACCAATTGGGTAAGAGTCTACATTTTGCTGTAGATAGAATTGTAGCAACAGATGTCAGAGAGGGTGATAACATTTTTATTCCCAAGTGAGTTGATCTGTAGCATTTCAGGTTCATCCTAAGGGTGACAAGTGACTCCATTCCAAGTCACTCTGATATACACCACAAAAAGCCACACAGTGTGATGGAAAACAGCCACGGCACGGATCTTTGCCTCTGAGCCGTGGGGAAGGTGCTGACGCCCACTTGTGCTCATTCAGATACTTTTCTTCAAGGTGAGGCTTGAAAAAACACTTCTTAATGTCAATCTCCATTTTGAAAATGACCATTTTTTTCGGTCGTATTGGTTTCTTGCACTATTAGTTATTTTCTGCGGGTAACTTTGTTTCTGATGCTCTTACTCTTTTCCTACCAGCTTCAGTGTAAGGCCCCATTGCAACATGTGGTGTTTTAGTAGAGGGTCCTCCTGTTAGTTCTCACAAGCCTGAGGAGTCCACATAGCCCAACCATCTGCCACGAGGAAGCTGGTGGGACTGAGACCCGCAGGCTCAGCGCTTGGGTCTGGTACTGACTGTAACTAATGTGATATCTAAGGACTTTATCCTTGGGACTGTTTGATTTTACATCTATCAAAGCCATATCATGAAATGGTAATATTATAAAGATACCAAGGGAAAACTTACGGGAATGCATGAGTCCTTCTGACACCTGAGCAGGTGGAGGACCAGCTACATCCCCAGCTTCACAGAATCCCTGAATTCACTGTTCCAGTCAAGAGGCCACTTCTGGATACCAGAACAGAAGATATTTCTATTATATACCTGTACAACATATAGTAGAGATTCCTGGTCAGCGTGCTTATTGCAATGAAAGAAAAAGAAAGAATTAAAATCTGAGGGCTTCCAAGCCAGAGCTTCATCTTTCCAATCACAGCAAACTGGTTGTGACATTTTGGTATACATTCTGAATCATTTGTTTTGCTCATGTTTTGACTCTGCAAAACTAAGGATAAAAAAGGAAAGATTAACATGCTTTTGCTATGCGGGTGCTGAATTGGCTTTACGTGTTCAGAACTGCTGAAAGATAAACTCAAGCACATTAAAATTTTAACGAGTTTATTTGAGCTTTCCATGATTCATGAATCAGGCATTGACCACAAGACCACAAGCAGGTCAGCTCTTCCAGGGCTGGAGGGGTTGGGGGAGGATGGAATCCTTCTTCCGGGAAGCAGGATGAAGTAGATGCCTTCTGTTAGTTAAAGTAGAAGGCTCCTAGTCCGAGGTTAGCTAGCGGTAGTTGGTGGTCCCTGATGGGTTGAGTTACAGCTTCCCTTCACAGTCTCACTGAGCAGTCTGCTTGCTAGAAACCCAG